AATAATAATAATAATAATAATAATAATTTGTAGAAATTATTCGTATATATTTGGAAAATAGCTTTTAGCTGCTGGAAAAGGGGTTTTCTTTTTATTCTATTTACTGCTTCTTATCATACATAGGTTAACTTATTTTATATCGTATCTTTGTATTGTATTTTAGTATGTCATCGTTTTTATTGTGAACCTTGGAAAACAAATTTCATTTACTTTGTATATGACAATAATTGAACTTGAACATTACTTTAGGGTAACTTGGCGATCACATTGATGAAACAACTGAAAGTATGGAAAGCCGTCACAATGTACTAGACCTAGCATATCAATGATCATTTACCCCTATTTGCTATAAATAATTTATATTTGAGTATTATTATATTATCATTATATCTCAACTTGATGGGTAGTCTCCAAAATTTAAATAGTTATTAAATTTTCAGAAATTAATTGTTGCTTCTGCAATGCTCCCTGTTTTTTCTATTATGTTTTTTCTATTATGTTTTTATGCATTACTCTGACTTTAATTTCGATAAATAAATTGAAAGTGGTTTTCACTACAGATCATCTACCTTAATTAAATTGCCATAAACAATTTATTGTTGTTGTATATTATCATTACACCTGATTAGGGCTCAAAATAATAATTAAAAAACCTAGTAAAGTATAATAATGATTTAATATCAAGAATTTATTATTTGCTAATTTCAGAAATTAATGTTAGCTGATGTTTTTCCAATTCATTCTGCTAATTTCTTTCATGTTATACATATATTAATGAAAAAAAAAAAATAGGTTACAAGATTAATTTTTGACACACAAGGCCATGCACATATTGTGTTTGCACAAATTGAGATTTTGTTAATGAAAACATTTCAATTTTTTTCTCAAAATTTGATTAGATAGGATTGGATTTATTCAGTGTAAACGCCAAGGATAACCCACGGAAATCTGAAGACTTATTTCCAGTGGGGTCAATCTGCTGGTGATTGGGCAGTACACCGAGGGGGAAAATCCCCTACTCCTTTCCGAAGAGTGCACTGTGTTCTTTAACGTGCACATAGGTCATATAGGCACACCAGACCAACGACTTAAATTGTCTCATCTGAATCACAGTGCGCTATTGTAACTTACATTTGAGCCCTACAACTGAAATACAGTTATTGGAATTGAACCGGGGACCAAGAGATCTCCACGGTTCAGCGCACACAAAGTGGCTACAACCAGTTTAGCCGACTAAGCTAAGCTGCTCTGATGACAATAATCATATTATTGTGCACTATATAGTTGTGCACCTTTTCAGAAGAAAAGAAAATTAATAATTGTTTTATACTTCCCCTATTACAAACAAATAATGGATGATTCCTAAGAACATATATAAAAATAGAAAATAGATATAATATAAAATATATAAGCAAATCTAAAGTAAAGTACCTGAAGAAAACATTACTATCGCCATATTCTTCTTTCTTATTCCAACCAGCCAATGAGATTACAGCAAGAGCTCTGTCAGGGTAGTGAGTTGCAAGATGCCATGCTCCATGACCTCCCATAGAATGACCTGCGAAGATCACATGGTTCTCATCTGCTTTATTCCTTAACCATGGTGATTTCTTTGTTAACTGTTGTAAGAAAAAATTGTTTAAAAAATTGAATTGATATTATATTAATAATTATTTTATTTATACTATTTATAAATTTTTCTCTAATTCTAAATATTCACCTAGAAGAATGGCACAGTGGTAGGGCTTTAGGCTTTTCGATGAGAAGGGTTTCAAGCCTAATTGTTACACTTGTTCATGTGTGCTGCTGCCTTCCCATCTAAAGGGTCAGGAACTGTCTGGTGGTGATGGGCAGTACACTGGGAGACAATCTTCTATTCTTCTCCCAAGAGTTATGACTGCATTCTTTGACATGCAAATGGGCCACATTGCACACAGGTCCAATTAGCTTAGCTAGCATTTCAGCCCTCCTTCTCCAGAAGAGCAGCGATGGGAATTGAACCAGAATCAAGATCTCCATGGCTCAGCACACACACAGTGGCTACCACCACAAAACTTGAATTATTGAACATAAAACGTAGCCACGAAGCTGACGAGCCAGTTCCTATAAAACGTAGGCGAGGCTGAACTTGATCAATTTGATTTAACATACCTCGTTGAAATGCTTGAATAGCAGTCTCCTGTGGTTGTGTAATGATCAGTTTACATATAATTATTATAAAATCTAAGTTATCCAATATTCTTGGGTATCACTTAATCAGAAACCATAATGATACCAATTGGCTTTCCCCCTGGTCTTTAGAACCTTATTAAATTTAGGCAATGGACGTGGTGCAATGATGGAGACCTATATGATGTAATTTAGAAGTAGGTAAAGATCCCAGATTCGAAGGGTTAAAAAAAACTATAATAATAACTTGAAAAATATAATTTTGTGCAAGTGGTGGTCTTAAACTAAGAAAATTAAGGTCAGGGTGAGAAATAAAAATAAAATGTTGACCATTTTACCAACAACCATACTTACTTTCTTTGACACTTATTTTGAACACTGCCATTAGGACATTGTTTAAATCACTAGCCTACAGTATATACTGTAGGCAATACCAGAGAGGTACATTCCCATTACATTATGGTTTTCAATTTCTATAGTGCATGATACAGTGCATGACAAGCGTTATATTACCACCACTAATACGGAGACTCTCAGCTCAGTTGTACATGGCATTGACACTCTGTGTTTTTAGCATTGTTTTGAAGTAATAACCTATCAGTTATAACTATAAACAACGCTTACGTGAACAATAATATACTTGGCTTTTATTGTTTTCAGCAACAGTAGCGTATCCAGGATTTAAGGAAGGTGGGTGCCAATGAAATGAGAGTCCACACCATGTCAGCGCCACCATGGTTGGTGGTGAACGCAAAAATTTCAGTATTTTATACCACTGGATGCCCGGAAATGGAACTTAAATTACTGTACCTTTTAATTCTTTCTATTTTTGACGAATTGAGTTAAAAAAACCCCAATTAATTAAATAGGTGCCCGAAAATGAAACTTAAATACTTACAATTCTAAAAACTACCATATTCAACTGAGCCCAACCATGGTTGGGGCTCAGGTGAGAACATTTTGACAATTTGAGGCTCGTTAGATGCCCAAAAATAAGACTAGAATAGTACAAAATTTATGATATCTACATGGGCCCCACCATGGTTTTGAGGTGCAGACGAGTAAATTTTTAGAATTTGAGACTATATAGATGCCCGAAAATGGCACTTGGACACTTAAAATTTTCTATTTCTCCATTGTATACACCAATTTTAATGATGTTCTGTTGTAGTAATCTAATACATTGTTTAAAAATATTTTTTTATAAGAATATTTTTTAAACTAACATCAGGGCTATGATGAAGCAAAACAATAAAAACACTTCAAATTCAAAACAGGAAGTTTATTCAAGAGAAAGCTTGTTACCCACAACATTGTTATTTTAGTATTTTGCCTTCTGACATTAAAAAAAATCTAAGATTAGACCCATGAACAAAAAATAATATTGCTATGGTACACTTTCAACCAATACATACAGGTGGGGATCTAGACCTTTGCACCGTTCGCCATGACGAATGTCAGGGTGAGAAATAAAATTATATTTAAAAAAAAATATGAAGTGATTGCAGTGCCTGGTGGTCTGGCAAATTCCAACTCTTTCTGTCAGAATGCCATCTACCTAAACCAAAGACGAAAATATAGACAAAAATTCAATACATTTTTGCATTGTCTGACTATTAATTAAAAGGGACTGTAAATAATTATAATTAAATTGGCTGCGCGATATACTGTTGAGTTTATTATGCATATTTAATTAATTTTCTGGTGGAAGCAAAATCACACCAATCAAGTTTGGTTTTGGTCAGAGTACAGTTGTTGAAAAAATTGCATTAATCTGCTTCCTTTAAGAATAAGTTACATTATGACCAAGTTTTTATCATAATATGAATCTTAAACTGTAATATTATTAACTAAGACCAATCAACACATAACAAAAAACATATACATATCAAAATTATTATGTTTAAACTTTCCTCGATGGTGCTTGCATAAAATGTAATGTCTTAGAATTTGGATCTAACATGTGTATAATGATATTGATAAACATTCAAAATTCTTTGTACTATATTATGCTAAACAGCTACAGAGTTATGTTGTGGTCATATTAGACTATAATATTATTATTAAAGAAGTCCATTCAACAAACAACATAAAACATATACATGTTATTAGGTTAAAGTTCTCATGTCGTTGCATGCATAAAACGTAGTTTCCAAAAATTTGGATATCTGTGATTGACAGACAATTCTCTGTACTATCTATACTAATTTAACGAGTGAACTTCCTTGATTTAAGGAAATATAAATGTATATTGAAATATGCAAAGTTTAAGAGGTTAGAAATTTAAAAGTTAAAGGAATGTTGTGGTCATATTAGACTGTAATATCATAAAGACCATTCAACAAAAAACATAAAACATATTAAAATTATTAAGTTAAAATTTCAACTTCAGTGCATGAATATAACATAATTTTGGGATATATGAGATATACATAATGAATAAGAAGAAATGAATATAAGTCCTAGGCAAGTGTATAATGGAATCTAGTCAGATTTTCTGCAAAGTAGACTTGCCACAAATCCCTTATTATTATTATTTTTTCTCATTCTGGATAGCGCCACCAACGAGCAAGTTAATTTTGAGACAGAATAGGTACAGTACAGTAATAAAAAAACAAAAGAAATTAGAAGAAAAAAAGAATTAGGTATGGCATGCAATAAGCGCAATAAAACGTGAGTAACCCAAAATTAGCGGCTGGAACCCAGGCTGTGTGTGTAGTAATTGACCTGACATGCCAAATCTATAAGGCCAACAAAAAGAGTCTGAAAAACTTCTGAGCGGAGTTTTGGCAATGTGAGAGGAGTTTTCCCAAGACATGGTACCAATGTGATCGGATTGTAAAATGTAACCGTTTTGACTCACAATCAGCAATACCACAGTGAAAGACTAGGCCTAGGCAGAAAATCAACACAGCATCAATCACAATGAGCGTACCGTAGGCATCACCTACAGTAGTTTTGATTTCAAACTGACAGGATACTTTCCGTTATTAACTTGCAATTTGCGCGTGTTTTAGCTTCTCTTTTGGAGGAAGCTCAACACTACTACTCGTTTTTCGAGCACTGCCTATCATGGCCTAACCTAGGCCTACATCCATATCGCTCTCATCGGACTCCATTTTCGAAATCGTGCTTTACTAGACTGTTGTTACGAAATCAGTAGACCTTGGAACTATATACAGTTCAGAGTGCTCTCTGACATCAATATGGCCACTGAAATTTGTTTTTTCAAAATCAGTTGACCATGGAGCGCGAATACAATTTGTTTCCGTATACAGTTTCAGAGTGCAACTCTGACACCGATTTGGTCAACGAAATTGGATTTTTCCAAATCAGTATACCGTGCGAATAAATTTTTTGTATTCAGTTCAGAGCACTGTTTTCAGGACGAAATTAAGTGGTCTTGGTCTTATCTAAATCATAGGATTATCATTTTTATTCGCAAATGCGTGATTTATTTCTGTTGGCCAAAATGTGTTAAAAGTTGAGATTTTCAACCCAAAATCGGAGTGCGGAGTTTTGCCTAAATAGACGGAGTAACTCCACCGAAATCGGAGTGGTTGGCATGTCTGTGACCTACTTGATTTGGATAAAAGGTAAGCCCACTAGACACTGAATTTCAACTGAAGAAAAAATACACAGTGGTTTCTTAATCAGTCATTATAAATCTTACACTAACGAGAAGAAAACAATGTAAACTATCATTAACCGTTCCTGAGTTATGTCAACAGAGAGTAGGTTGTGTCTAAACATACAGGAGGAAATTAGCCCTTTTTTATTCCTATTAAAAACTTAATTAATAACTTGTGGTCTGTCAAAAAGAAAGTGGTCAGATTGAAACCTGAGCAACCGTGCCAGTGGCTACAGCCCTGTAATGATGACTTTCCTCCACAAATGTCTGTTTTCTATAAGGTGTGGCATGTACTGCCGCAGTGTGATTAGATCCTTTTATAATTGCTCGATATATGTAGTCGGGGCTGTTCTTGATTCCTTTTCCCATGGGTTGGTTCCCGAAAGAGAACCCTTATCGAAGTACTTAAAACACTCTATCGACCATCAATCCCTTGCTAGTTTATAAAAGTGCCAGATTCTTCCAGGTATGGAATACGCCTGCTGCATTCATGGCCTACTACCCAAATGTGAAGTGTCATTTTATAAAAGTATTGAATACCTTTTTTGCAAACTTCTTTTTTAAAAACGCTACACATTCCACCTATCCTTCAATATTTAGACTTCAACACCCCTCTTTTTGAAAACCGAATCAAGTACCATCTTCTCTGCAAACTTGGGAAAATTGACCAAATGGAATCTCACCCTCTTAACACCTCTCTTCCATTCCGCCGCCATTGCTCTACATCTCTTCGCCACGCTAGGGACTCTGCATCCCTACATATCGCATGTCGAACTTCTCGTTTTGCAAATTTATATAGGCCTATATCAATGTGTTCTTTTGTGAATTTCATAACTTTTTTGTGCATGTTTTTTAGTGGATATTGGCCCATGATGACTTTGAAGCATATAAAAGATATTGAATTGAATTGAATTGACAGTTTATTCAGTCAATACATAAAAAAATTTAACAATTCATTATTAAAGTAAATAAAGTTAATTATTCAAATTTTGATGGCTAGTTACTCTATTCAAACATGATGTCCCTCTATTATTCATCTTTAGTTTAGCATGTCATATGTGAGCTGTCATGACAAATTGAGTCTTGTGATACGCCAGGTCAATTTGATAACATATATTCAAGAAAATATATCTGATATAAGATTCATAGTAGCAAAAGTTTCAAGTTGATATACCCAAGGTAATCATGTTTTTGAGACACATTTTGTAAAGCTTGTTTTCAAAATTGATAGGAAAACCAACACAAAATTTATCAGTTGTTTATCTTTAGAGGCAATTTTTGAAATGATTTCACTCAACCTAGAAACATAATTTAAAGTCCAAAATAAAGCTTATATATTCATCTATCTAAATACATCAATAACTCATTTTTAATTTTTCGTACCACAGGACTCATTTTGTCAGAACAGCTCACATATTTCTTGGGATATTTATTCTTTACCTCTTGTAGTTTATGGAGTGCGGTCATGGCCGTCAGGGTACCAGGGCCTTCCCAATTATGTGCACCATGCCTAGAAGAGAAAAACAATGACAACACTGACAAAAGCTTTAACAAGGTACAGAATAAAATGGCGCTCAACAGTTGTTGTTTATAAATATTCGAACTCTTTGTATGATTTTCCTCTTGGTTCTACTGTTGCTGCTTGTAGTAAGGTCTGCGGCATGTCACTTATGGTCGTGTTGTTTGTACTAAATGTGGTATATTTGAGAGATTACCATCTGAGTTTAATGCCCTTCCCATATTTGATAGCTTTAATATTACAGTAAAACATCTATTTTACGTACCCTTTAGTACCAAGGGGTGTTTGTAAATTAAAAAATTTGTAAACTAGATCGGGTGTCAGTTTCCAATACCTAGGCCAACTATCCCCTGCCACTGAACGCCGACAGGCTGACGGAAGCCAGGCCAAGCACAAACTGACAGTGCAGCAGCGTGGTCTACTGCACTAGAGCCTAGCTGAATTGTCCTTCGATAAAAACCAAATTATCTTAATCGCTGGCATTCTTCCACTTAACAAAATACTATATTCTTATTCAAACATCTGTGTGTTTTATGGACCTTTCTATCTTGTTGTTTCTTGTTGTTAGATCACCAAATGGTGTCGTTTACATACATTTCGCGATCATATCTAGCATTCACAATGTCAATCATTCATCATCGTAAACATGTGCGCTCAATCCGACGACACTTGCGTTGGTAGTTCATTGTTCTGGTTAGGTTTATTATATCAGAAATGGAAGAAAAGATCGAACTGTTAATAAATAAATACAAAAAACTTGCTTTTATTAAGAAAAATATACATTATCACTTTGTAAAAATGTGCGCAATCAAACTTTTTTTACAGGAATAATTGGTCGATGATGACATCATCAGTGGCAAAGACCATTCGTAAAATTGCCCATTCGTAAAATGGATGTTCGTAAAATGGACGTTTTACTGTATTAAAAATAAGATAAATAAATCAAGCTCAGTGCTATTTCACATTTCTAGTCTACATTTTCGATAGTTTATTATGTTTAGTGTCACCTGTAAGTGGTGCTTTCATCACTGTTGGTTTTTGCTGAATAAAAAAGTCAAACTATGCATATGTTGAAAACAAAACTTAACATTTTTAGAATGTGGTGATATACTGAGGTGAAAGAGGGGTTAAAATCTGAAATTCTGTTGGGTACAAATTAATTTTTCACACCTGGTGGGGGCCAGAACCCAAGCAGAGTCAAGTCCAAATATCCAATCACCATTTTCCATGCGCTTATATCCATCGGCTTGGTTTTGGGCAGAAACACCTAAAAAAAAAAAACAACAATTTTGCTAAATATTTACTGTGACACCACCTTCACCTTCCGCTCCAGTCCCCCTCCCATGGCTGCACCAAACACATACACTACACCATTCTGAACATATTATTATTATGAAATGTTCAGATTGCTGTTGATCCTTTTATTGAGAAGGCAGAGAACAATGTTTGTACACGGAGTAGGTGGTCCCCTGGTGTATAGTATAATCACTACGACAGTTTGGGCAATATCTATGTGAGGCTCATAAAAGAAAATGAACTTACCTGTTCCATGCAGAGTCAACACAACAGGACATACCTCTTGAGGGCAGTCTTTCGTTGGACTAATGGCTGCTGCCTGTTGTATCTGGAAAACAGAATAAAATCTAACAATAGGGTGTATAACTGCTCTCTTATAAACTGTAATATAGTATAGAGTACAGCAGTCGTGTCGTCACAACACCAGGTGGCGCCCTGACGTTGGTTACCGTTCATTACGCCTGAATGACTTCATAATTTTAATGGTTTAGAATCGGCTTTCTGGAATAGGCATTTTAAAGCCTAATAATTTAGCATTAAAATGTACTAAAAACACAAAATTTTGCATTATATTAGTTATCGAACTCACATTTAATCATCAATATAAAATTTACAAAGAAAAATTTAGATACAACATCTTAATAATTATGTTAGAAATTGGGATAAATGGTTTGTCAGTGGAGAAAATGGATCCTGTTGATCTTAACAGTGTAGTACTCTATATTACATACTCCAAGTATCGAAATTCTTGGGATTCAATATTTTGACATTAATTATGTCATTATCAGGAAAATAAACTGTATTTTAGAAGATAACTGTCTCACCTTTATAATATAAAGTCTTGGGTAAAAATTTGAATCATTTATAGATAAATAGAGATTGAAATTAGGGATTTACTTTCTTCTCAATGGTTGCAGTTAATACTTACTGATCCATCATGGTCTTGGAATGTGAAAATGAATGACTGGTGTAAGTGACGACACCTCAAGTTAATTGTCACATGATCACTGTCTGTTTCTGCTGTGCTGACTGTCAATATAAAGCTAGTAAAAGAAAGATATAAGTGTTGAATGATCCATGAAACCAAACTAATAGCTATTGTGAACAAGCTTTAGTGCACAACACTCCTTGTAGACAGTGCAAGGTCAATCACCAAACTTTATTAAACATTATTCATATACATTAATATTATAATATTAATTTGATTTTTGTCAATGGCACTAAGTTTTCGATGAGTCATGAAGTCTTTGGAAATTAACAGAGTTTTGCACTCAAGCACTCAAGAAAAATATCTCACAAAAGAATAAATTTCCCACAAATCCAGAATGTTTGCATGCAGTGGCATATCTGGGATACTTGGAATACAGAAGCTGATTGGAAGGGGTGGGGGGTGTACACGAAGTTGAAGTGGGGCTTAATATTTACGTGAGGGGGAGGGGGGGAATTTGGTTGCAAAAAAAGGTGATTTGAGGTGATTTTGAACTAGTCAATGCACAATTCTTAATGGGCAATGAATGGGAAGTGCAATATTTTTTTTTTGGAGAGGGCGGGGAGGGGGGCATGCACCACTGAGCACTCCTTGGATACTCTGCTAATGCATGGTGTAGTGAAGTCAGCTGACCATAGGTATCACTCCCGACAGCAAAAACACCTGTGTTAGCAAAGCTCATTCCAATTTAGAACCTCTGTTTTGTTGTGTATTTTCTATGTACTTCAAGAATAAAATATACAGTATATGATTAAGATTGTGCATGTAATGTGTGGGTATAATTGTGATTCTTGACAATGATCATACTTAGATTATCACCTGATTTCTTTACACTCCCGCGATTGGTCATTTCCACTTTCACTTTCCTTGAACTGAAATTTCACCGGCATGGTTTGTCCAGGTGCTATGTTCACAATTGGTCCTTGTATTAATTTAATTGGGATACCTGTATTTTGCTGACTAATAGATACCCTATAAAAAGTATAATATGTTTATTTATTATAAATGTAAATGTTGAAAAATCAATGGTTTTATTTCTTTCACATCAACAGAGAAGAGTAAATTTGCCAAATACGGGATGATGGATGCTCTGTAAAGGCCAACAACAGCATCTCACGACCAGCTCAACGCAATCTGTTGCTGCGTTGGATCTGTGTGAGTTAAACCCTTACAGGATAGGTCTGCATCAGAGACAGTTGTTGTTTAGTATTCTCACAACTAAAAAATTATCCTTGACAATAAATCGCGAAACTGTCTGAGTTGGCCTTAAGTTGTCTGTAGTCATGAGAAGAAAAAAAAAATCTTGGTGCTACGCAGGACACTGGAATTTGAAAATATGTATTTTATGGTAAGTATTAAGCTACATTGAATACATTCAAAATGGTTTAAAAAGGTGGCTTACTTGACTTTCTTGAGCCATTTTTTTGTTTGTAGGTTGGTGATTGGAAGGGCTAGCACATCACCTAGTATGTGTCCATTCACTAAGTCTGGTTGCATAGATGGACGATGAACCTGAAATGCATGTGATCCTAGTAAAAAGAATATTGAATAAAAACATCACTATGATATTTTGTCATCATACTTTTTAGATAAAGATATGGCTGATTCAGTGTTTGGAAACTGGTTTACATACCCCTTATTTTAGGTACTAGGACATTTCATAGATAAAAACTTTGTCCCACACCCCTATTCTGAACATTTTGCTCGACATTTTGCAAACAAAACATTGCTGACAACATTTTGATCCAACATTATTGTACCGCTGTCAAATAAATTATTTGGCTAAACATTTTTCGCATTTTTTGCTGACAGCCCTCATCATCTGCTATTATTTAGTGCATACAGTAGTTATTTCATTTTCCGTAAGAGTATACAGTATGTTAACAACTAGCCATACCCCCTCCGACTCAATCATTGTCCCTTCGACTTAGCTTACGTACCATTAAGCCCTTTGGCTAGCGTCAGTCTAAGTAGACTATGCAATAAAATATAACACACAATGCTGTTTTACAGGAAGATATTGGCATAGTTAGACAGACATTAGTTAATGTTAATTAATATTATTATATTTCTTTATTTATAATTGTATTTCTTATTTATTTTTAACATTTACAGATTATTTCAATTAGTTATTTGCTTCCTGCAGCTCTGAGGATTACTGTGTAATCCAATCCTAGAACTAAACTGATGAGCACAAGAGCAGCAGGTAAAAACAGCATAGTTTGTGAGAGACCTCTTGCTTTGTTTTTACTAATTCCACTAATTTCAATACTCTACATATGCCACTGTGGTTTGGTGTATGTCTTTTTGTATAATCAAAATGTCTATTCAGTAAATAGTCTTTCGATGACGAGGGTTCAATAACAACCATTAAATAACATCATGTCACCTAATTATGAGTATAAAAAATGTTCGCAACTGACAAGCTAAAAGTGACATTTGAGCGATAGCTCTATTTACTGCCATTCCTGATAGCTATGATAAAAAAAAAAAAAATGTTTCTTTTACCTTCTAATTTGAGTCTACATTGAAATGTCATGGGGCCTTTAGATCTCAACGGAACATAAAGGGTGTGGATGCCAGGAGACAGATGAATTCCAAACCTAAGATGAGAAAAAAATAACACAATATGAATCGCAGTAAAAACATATAACATAATGGCAAAGTGTTAGAAATGCTGCCGAAGCTGGTGAAGAATCCACATTAAAGGGATTACAAGTGGGGTCGTTTCAGTGCAGTGTTTAGAGACTATAGAAACACATTTGTTACAGAAATGAACAAATTCTACTTTCTGTGCTTTTATTACTGTTTGTTTTCTCAATCTACCTCAACACTGTTAAAAAAAAAATCCTTAAATTACCGATATTATTAATGAATCTGTAAATATTAAGTGGATAGTATTTTTTCGATGTTAAATTTCTTTAACTTTTCAGGATAAGCAATTAAAGATGTATTGTCCACAGAAAATGACAAAAAGTCATAAAAAATAATTTTGAAATTAACTTGCTCATTCATTATGATGAAAAAAAAAAAACATTTCCAGTGAGTGGAAATGTTTCTATTATTTTTCACTGTAAAGGTATGGGTAAACATTTTTTATTTCTATGATCAAGTTGATAATTATTTTTTATTACTTCAAAATTACCAAGTTTATTTGCCAAAATGATGTTTTGTTATTTTTGCATGAGACAAATTCTTCGAAATACTGAATATTGTTTTTTAACTTTTTAAAGTTCAACTACAAAGAACGTAAATCTTTTTAACATTCTTAAAATTGTTGCTTATTTCCATTGTTTGTGTAAACCTACCAATATTCTGTTCTTCGGTAGACGTCGCCTGTAATGATGACATCATCAACAAATATGTGGCTGACTCCTACATGAAAAAAATTCAGAAGAAAAAAAAAATATTCATAAGAAATGTTATAGCACCCTCAATCTCTATTCAATACACTGAAAGCATTGTTGTTAAATGGTGGATGGATCATAATGAATCATAAACTACACAATATTAAAAATCTCAATGCAATAACTGAATTAATCGTTAAAATCAATTACTGACAAAAATTAAGTTACATACAAGCTAATAACATGACACATTTTAACTGTCTAATGCGAAAAATGATGGATTATATTAGAAATGGGTTCAACATCAAGCAGGTGTTTCCCTACAAAGAAATCAATACCACAGGATTTTGGTATTTAATATTAATACTATTTTCTTAATAATCACATTCTCAAGGGCATTTATGAGAGGAAATAAAATATTCAGCTGTGCAATATAGATCTGAAAAGGTTAATATGCCATAATTAATTTTGAAATCATATAATTGGAAATAGAGCAGACTTTTAGAAAACATATATGTAATAAAATTGTTAATTTTGCTTATTTTGTAACTGTAATTTTAGTATTTATGATAAATTACCTCATCTTATTGTATGATATTTAATATACCGTACATTAATAACCATATATTTCAATGTGCTTTTCTGTCAGGAAAAGATCACAGGATTGATATTTTGCGCTATCTCTTATCGTCCTGAATAACAGGTAGGGCAAAACATCACCCATATATTAAATAACCGTATAATTTTTGCAGCTTTAAAATGTATAGTATGCCTTTTATTGTTTGCAACGTCCTATATTATTATGCATTTGTAGCAACCAAAAAGAATTGTATTTATGATATAAAGCTTTCTTGGATCTTGCCCATCCTTGAAAGCTGAAAATTGGAGATTTATGTTTTAGGTAGGAGTGATGTGAGTAGTGTGGAAGTTCGGGGAGGAGATGTTAGTGACATGAATTATAATGTTTTTCAACTTACCATGACACTGTACCAAAACATTTTCATCTTTACTATTAACAGCAAACTCTCCAACAGCCCATCCCTTACAAAAAAAAAAAAAA